TAATTGATCTCATCGCATAGCAAGCTGCATTTAATTTAGGTATAATTTGTTCAATATGTATTTTCCAAGACAGTGTACTGTCTACATGTATTCCAAGGAATTTTGTATCAAGTACTTTACAGATTAATTTGTTGGCATAACTGACGTCCAGATCAATTTGGTGGTTGTTTTTAGTTGTGAATGATATGTAATGGGTTTTATTAAAATTTAATGAGAGTAAATTGGCTTTGAACCATCTGTTTAAGGCTTCAAATACAATATTTATGTCATTTTTAAAGTTTTCAAATTTAGAGTTCTTAAATATTATACTAGTGTCATCTGCATATAGAATTGATTTAGATTTATTGTTGTTGGTGTTAGATCATTTATGTAGAGAAGAGAAAGTAAGGGACCTAAAATTGATCCTTGTGGAACACCATGCTTTATAATTCCCCAGTTTGAAAATGCAATTATAATATAAATTATAATATAAATGGATTATAAGTAAGAAAAAATAGAAAAAAGAGCTATTAATAGACTCTGAATATTACTTTCTTGCAAGAGGTGCTTAAAATGGCATCTATGATCAATGACACATGACTCAGCTGTACGTGAAAAAGAAAATTGCAGGTGTTTTAAAGATTCCTGGTCTGTTCTTAATTTCACAGTTCATCAAAGCCTCCATGAAGATTTGAAGAACCATCATTCAGTTTGGCTGCCATGTTTTTCGTAATATTTTCAATGCCTTCTTTCCTTTGAGGGCAGTTGTCATCTTAAGAAAGAGAAAAGTGCAATAAAGAAAACTGATTGTCTTGACGAGTGTGAATGAAGCCTTGGCATGATGTGAGTCTGTGTTGCTTTTGTTCATCCATGAGTCTGTGTGGGGCAAACTTTGTGCAGATCTTCCTCTTCCACAAATCTCCATGGAGGATTTGATGAGACTTTTGCTGTTTTCAGAAACTTTTCAAATGATTCAACATATGTACTCAAGTTGACGGAGATTACTATGAATAGAAATAAAACAATTTTTTATTTCCTTGTAATTTGTATTTCTTCTTTCACACCAGCCCTAAAACTTTATTATCAGACTTGTATATGAGGGGAATTTGAAAAGTAATGAGACTACTCATATTGCTCTCCATCTGAGGATTACTGAAGCTTGGGCACAGTGTCTTCTTTGAAGTAACACCCTTCACATTCTATACATATTTTTGCAGCACCCCACCTACTACTTAAACACATGCAATAGACCATTTCCAGACATCTTGCTTAGGGTAGTGGTGGCGGGTTGTTTCACTTCAGTATAGGTGCTGCATTTGTGTCGTCGTAACCTGTAAGCATTGAGAATGCCCAAAAATCAACATAGGATGAGGTCTAGACTGTAGGATGGGTGTTCTGCAGGTTTCCCACTGGTGTATGATACTGCCTTCATTGTTGCATGCAAGATGCAACCATGCATTGAACTGAAGTGGAAACCACCCTTTTATTAAGGATTACAATTTTTTTAATAGCATTTCTTAAATGAGTTTTAAGTGTATCTGTATGGAAAACACTCCTATCATGCTTCTACAATTGCTGATCTTGATCAGGGTTCACATCTGTGTCAGCAGTGCTTGGTCTCCCACATTGAGTGTCATAAACCTCCCTTTCGTTTCCATCTTTGAAATACTACCACCATTGAGAAACTAGCTCAGCTTTTTGCTTCTGTTCCACACACATTTTCTGACATCCCTACCTCTCTTTGCCATTTTTTTTCAAGGTTCACACAAAATGCTTAAAACATTAACTATTTTTCAGGTCTGCCATTCCAAACAGGTTTCATACCAGAGCTCATACAGACACACACATACTATGGGAAATGAGAGACTTTGCACTAGTAGCTTAACACACTTGAGTGGGCAACATTGTGCATGCATCATCTTGATCAGATCCACTGAAGTTGAGCAGTGTTGCTAATCCCATTACTTTTCAAATTCCCATCATATAATTAAGGACTATACCAGGAAGGAATATGGGGAGTAGAAGTAGCTTGACCATTCTTAACCTCAGCACAAGGTGGAAGTTAATGGTCAGCTTCATGCCCCTGCTTCTTTACCATTGAGGCAGAGCCCCAGTACCCATTGGATAGGAGGCTGGTTGGGCCCCAGAGCCAGTCTGGATTATGTAGAGAAAAGAAAAATCTCTTGCTCTCTGCCAAGAATTGAACTCCAGCCGTTCAGCCTTTAACCTAGCCACTATACCAACTGAACTCTCTAGGCTCTTTTACCTGGCAAATTGGTCATTTACATTCCACCTTTGTTTGGGAGGCTGCTTCAAAATGTTTTGATTTTTGATCAGTACAGATGAAGTGTAACTGGAATATTTGAAAAAATAATGGCTTCATTGGGAATGACCAAATTATTATAGTACAGGTGCTGCCCTAGAATCCCTATCATTCAGCAGACATTACATTCTTTACATGAGGTGATACGAAGGCCAGGAGACAGCTGGTAGAGTGTCAGCATGATTTTATCCTGAGACCAGTGAAAGATTTAACATCATATCTGTGAACAGTATTTCTGTACACCTGTATGGAACATTGATACTGATGATTCATTGGAATTCTTAATGCCTTTCAGTTTCTATGCATTACCACACAATCCAGGGATCTGAATAATCTTTGCCACTTTTTCTCCTGTGTTCTCTTTCAGGCTACTCAGCAGATGGAAGAACGGTTACAAAGTTTTATAAATGACAACAAATCTATTGATGCAAGGGAGAGCTATGAAAATATGCCCAAAGATTCCATACCAATAATAAGATTTGTTCATCATCAAGTCATTGAAATGGCTAGAGATTGTTTACAGAAGTCAGAGGAGAAACTTGTCACTAGTAGATATTTCTATGAGATGTCTGAAAATCTGGAGAGGTTATTGTCAGAGGTACTGTATATAAGTAATATTCTTGAAACTACTGAGAAGTTACATTTGTCTCTTAGTTTTAATAATATTTTTAATTACTTCCTGTTGTTACTTATTCTAACAGACAAAAGAAAAGTCTCCTGAAGCAGCTACAAGGTTAACAGGCGCTATAAAGAAGTTACTTTTGATAATATCACGACCAGCTCGACTGCTTGAGTGCTTGGAGTTTGATCCAGAAGAGTTTTACCACTTACTTGAACAAGCTGAAGGACAAGCTAAAACATCACAAGGGATTAAGGCTGACATTCCACAGTACATCATAACCAAATTAGGTTTAAACAGAGATCCTATAGCTGGTAAGTTTCATTATAGATCTTACACTGATTATACAGTTATTAATTCTAAGACATTCATTTTCATTAATGTGAGAGGTAATAAAAAGAATGAATTGAAAGATTGAGTGGTATTATGTCTATGATCTTTTATTTTGTTTTATTTGAAAAGCGTAACACTCTTTTTATTTGTATTTTTAGAACTACAAGAAGATCTGAGTCAGTTGGAAACCACATGTTCCTCACCTGAAAAGATTCAGTTGTGTATACCTCACTCAACACCAAAGGAGGAGAAGGAAACAAAGGTACTCTCTCATACTGATTTAATATTAGAGCTTAATTTGTTCATCACTGTTCATTGTGTTAAATCTTATTTAAATCTCTTCTGGCAGCATTATCTTATTATGTAGGTGAAATTATTTGTGATCTTTGTTGTAGATTCTGATATAAAAGAACAACTACAGAATGAAATCTTCAGGATTAGGCAGATATAAGAGAAAAATAGGAATATAATGATCTGGTACATAAGCTGTAAGTTTGTATATTTGAAAAGGACCATGATTATAGTATTGTGAGAAGTATTATTTGGTTTAATTGCATGTTTAATACATAGAAAAATAGTTAGGTTGATTAAAATATGATACATATATTCAAGATTGTATCTAAATTCACTTGATAGATTTCAATTTCACATTAACATAAAATATGGTAATTCTGTAACAAGCTGTATCAGGTACTTTCCAGTCATTTTACAGATGTTATATAGGACCTTGCATAAGGGTATTTTAGTGATGAAATATGACAATTTATTGATTGCAGTACAGAAGATAACCTGTAGCAATGCTGATGGCAAAAGGTTGCAGTGATTTTATCATTTGTTTTTGCCAGAGATGGGGAGTAATGACATTCCTTCACCATACCAGTAATTATTTATAATTACATTGATGCTGATATATGTTTAGGAGGCACAGACAGATTTTAGTTGAATTGTTTGTGATACTGTAATTTTATTTCAGGTGCCTTCTGAAGATGATTTTGAAATTATAAAGTTAATTTCTAATGGAGCATATGGTGCTGTATATCTGGTACGTTTGAAAGAAACCCATCAAAGATTTGCTATGAAGAAGATTAGCAAGAACAACTTGATGCTCAGAAATCAAGTTGACCAAGTGTTTGCTGAGAGAGATATTATGAGTTTCACTGACAACCCTTTTGTTGTTAGTATGTATTGCAGTTTTGAAACAAAGGTAATTGTTCAGTTTTCTGTTTGTAATTTTTATGTTATGAACTGGGGGAAGTAAAATGAATTGATAAATAATATATTTAATCCTGTTGCACTGCCTTCATAATGTAAGTATTACCTGGTATGTGCATTAATCCATGTAGAACAGCATGTACAAAATGAGAAATAGAACTTGGTTGTAGATGCCTCAGGGTATACTTGACAGCTAATTTTTGTTTTACCTGAAATTCATAGTGATTTAAAGAGTAGGTTTACATGATGGTGAAAATTCATGTTGTGGTCTTCTGGCTTATAATACTATGTAGTCTAACAGATGGACACCAGCATTTTGGAAGAACATACTGCCTCCATCTTAAGGGTAGAGGTGAGCCAAGTTGGGAAAGTGGTTTTATTATATAGGAGCAGGGAGGAAAATAAATAGTTCTTGGAGGATGTGTGTGATGAGAGTCGTGAATGGAGAAGAGAATGGGCCAGATGAACCAATGGGAACCACATCCTGCAAAGGGAAGTTACTGCATGACAAGTAGAAGAAGAAGAGGAAGAAAGAGCCCTTTTACATGACATGGAAGGAAGAGTGATAAAGATCCTTCTTCAGGGTCACTGAAGAAGAGACATTTTCTGGGGCATGGGCAAAGAAAGGCCAAGTCAGGACTTGTCCTTCGAAATAGCCTTCCTGAATTCATTCAGGGTGAAAAGCCTCCATTATTCTCTCAAGTAAGGGCCATCTTCTTTATTAATGTTATTGGGCTGGAGCTCAGTCTTTACTGTTGCCATGGTGATCTGACCCATGTGTGTGGAATACTGGTGCCATATAGCAGGATGTAATGACCCAGGTTCCTGCTATGCTGTGCTGTAGCTTATTTGTCCAGGTGACAAGGATGATGTGCCTGTGACATGTGGTGTTTTAAGGTTCAGTCATCCTACACAGGCTGAAAGAAACTGGATATTTTCCTTGGCATCAGGTCCACAGTCCTGATATGCCTTTCTTTCTTTCTTTCTTTCTTTCTTTCTTTCTTTCTTTCTTTCTTTCTTTCTTTCTTTCTTTCTTTTTCCCCCCCCCCTTTTTTTTGGTGGGGGGAGATCCCAGTTGAGCTTGGAGACTGTCCTGTTAGAGATGGCTTTGGCTCCTTGTGCTAAGTTAGTAAATGCACATAGCTTGTTGAGTTAATGACATTCAAATACAGGTCAGTATGTGGGCTATGATGGCTGTCTATCTCTGTCTCTGTGGTTAATCAGAAGTTTTATGCTGTTTATGTGGTCCAGGAAGTTCTTCAGTTAATCTGGTCCAAGAAGCCAGATCATAAAAGGCATTGTTATGGCGTGAAGGGGGGCGTGGAGGTACCTCCACCGCTTCCGCCACTGGGCCTCTCTTAAGCCGCCGCTACACCTCTTTTATGCCGTGGTGACAGAGGGCGTGGAAATATCCCGCTCTGTCACCCTGTTAGTATGCTGCCACCATCTTGTTATTTTCAAGAAATCTAGTAAATTTATCATAGCTTGCGTCCTGTCCTGGCTTAACTCGTAATTCGCTGGAGCGTTGGGAGGTTCTGGAGACGTCAAGGAAGATGGTAACACTTAAAGAAATGCTAGGTTGAAGTAAACTCACACGCATGTCTATCCTATTCTATTTCTCTATGTCACTATATACATCTATATGCACTCTTACCGACGTTCGTCGGTTGTACTACACTGGGTAATGAACCTGCAGTCTTCATTGGTTCTACCTCCTGTCACCCTACTGGAGGGTATTCTACTCCTCGGTGTCTCGAATGAACCTAGTCAATCTAGTAGCCTATCTTTCCCTGTGGTTTTACACTTTACAATTATCACTTAATGTTCATGGCTATATGAAGTTGGTTTCACTTACTTGAGATGAGGAAACAGATGCTCGCCATCACCAACCAGCGCACACTCACGGCCATAGCCTCCCCTGAACTCTTAAGTTACTTAATGTCCATCAAAAGTCTAAAGGCAAAAGGGGTTTTTTGATTAAGTCTTCTATGGTTTGTATAACCTCTCTTTGCTGATTCTTTGAGTTCCGGGTAGGTTGCCTGCCCATTCTGACGTGATTTTGGCTTCCCTCATTGGTTGCCCATCGAGAAGGGGTTGACTCTTTCGGGTCTACCGCCTCCTCCGACTCAGCGTTTTCCTCCTGCCATAGTGTTTATGACCCACTTCATATAGCTCCTTCCTCAATGTCAGCGCTATTACACTGCCGGGTTAGCATTCAAATGACTCAGGCATTCCCTGTTACAATTCTTTGTAGACCTAAAGTTCCTGGTCCGTTTCATCACGGCTACTTCTTAATCTTATAGTCTAGCTACTATTATTCCAATTTTACCCCAAAACTATATCTACATGTACGTAACCTTAGCAGCATTACAGGCATTGTCAACATAATAGAACAGGAAGAGGGCTTATGGATTACACTGTTACATGCCCCTTCCTCAGAGTCCTTCAAAAGAAGGTGGCTTTATGGGAGATGTAGGAAATCCACGGCTATTCTGTCCTTTGTTCGTAGAGCTGCCGGTTGAAGCAGAAGACAAGGGTGTCAGGACATTGTGAAAAAGTCTCATATTTTCTTTTTCAAATTCTAGTCTAGGAGATTCAGAGCCTTCCTGATCAGCACCTTGATGAAGGAAGTGATTAGCCTGTCCTTCAACTTGACATAGAATGTCTACTGTATGGATGAAGTCCTCAGAGTTTTTCACGTGGTACAAGACATGATACCTCACAAATGTTTTTCTAGGCTGTGTTTAAGAGCCCCAGCTATGCTAACAGTGGACCTAAGGGGGTCTCCTTTCTTGTATATTTCTGGACACGCATATTGTGTTCTCAAACCATATGGTAACAAGTGTTGGGTGATATCTTCAAGAAGAGAAGACTTATTAAGGAGATTAGTAGTTCTCAGTCCCACAGTTAGTGTTTTAGCTAGCTTTGGTAATGTTGGATCTTCCTTTCTTGGCTCTGATAAAAGCCCTTTGTTACTCTTCCTTCTGTGCTGCGCTGTGCTGAGGCTGTATAAGCTCATTGAGTGACACGTGTTAATATGAACTGTTTCTTTGATTATTTGCTATGTGCTTACTCTAGGTATCACAGGTAATATTTAATGAAGATGAAAATATATAAACTGACAGTGCTGTCTGAGTTTATCTTTTACTTATTAGTGAGCTAGCCAGGTATCTGATTAATTGCTATACAGCCTGTTGCAGTGCTTATGTGTCATGTCTACTACGCACATGCTGGGCTCAATAAGAGACATGTAATGGTGCCCTTAAAATCTCACCTGTTCTTGAGTAGGATATTGAAGGTTTTCTGTTTCCATATTAAAATATATAAGAAACTGCAAAACATTAACTTTCAAATCCTTATTGATCATTCATGTTAATCTTCAGAGTACATTTGGTGTTGTATTGTCAGTGTAATTTAATCAATATCATTAAATAATCAACAGTCACTCTACTTCTAATCCTGAACACTCTGTGACTTTTTAGCTGACATGAAATACCTCGTGTTCTGTTTCCTCATATATATATATAATGCCAGGTAGTTTGTTGAAAGTCAGCTGATATTTGAGAGAAATTATTTCACTTCCATCATCAGGATTTAAATGTGAACCAAGCAAGAAACCAGCATGAAGCAGGCAGCAGCTCTTGAACCCTGAAGGTGAAGGTGACATTTTCCTCTGAAATGTCAGACTTGTGAGCATTATATCCCAGAAGATAAAATTCTTCATAAGAACTGCTGTGAGGACCTCAGTTCCTTAGCTCTTGGCTAACCTGAGTTAAAAGTAAACAAATAATAAAAAAAGAGATTAGATCATCCTTTACACAGCATACTTTTAAAACACTTCCATAATATGACTACTTTTCATTTTGGTTTTTGCAGAAACATCTATGCCTTGTTATGGAATATGTGGAAGGAGGAGATTGTGCAACACTTGTGAAAAACATTGGTCCACTACCTCCTGACATGGCCAGGTTTTACTTTGCTGAAACTGTTTTAGCTGTCGAATATTTGCACAGTTATGGTATTGTTCACAGAGATTTGAAACCAGATAAGTGAGTACTATATTCAGGTCTGTCTAGAAATTATCATGTTTAAATAGATGAAAAATAACTGGTGAGAAGGTATATTGCAGCCTGATGAGTTTTAATGTATGTAATTGAACAGTTAGATTTACAGCTGATTTCAGATGTCAGTTTGGATGGTATGGTTATCTGATTTTTCTAATGACAAAACTCATCATCTGAAGGGCATATCTCTTCACAGTCAGTAACTTGGTCAAATTCACCATTACTGATTAATCATGGGCCATATAAATGTATGTATATTTGTAATGCTTCCTGTAAACATGTCAATGTTCCCCATTGCATCTGTTTCAGTAATATGCATGACTCATACTGTGTAATGATTTGGACTAGACTAAATCTTCATACTATATTGTACCGTTCTTACTATTTTATTGATTTTGTCAGCTGCCACTAAACAGGGCTCGTGTCATATTTTTCTATCTTTAGTGACCAGTAGTATGGGAGCTGGGGTAGCGCAGTCAGTATAGCGACTGGCTATGGGCTGGATGACCTAAGGGTCGAAGTTTTAGTCCCAGTAGGGGCAAGAATTTTCTCTTCTCCACATTGTCCAGGCCCGCCCAGCCTCCTGTACAATGGGTATCGGGGACTCTTTCCCTGGGAATAAAGCAGCTGGGGCATGAAGCTTACCACTCACCTCCAGCTAGTGCCAAAGTCAAGAAAATGTGGATCTATATATCCACTCCCCCCTACTCCTTCATGGCATAGTTCTTAATTAGCTAAGAACGGACAGTTTTACCTTTACCTTAGTGACCAGTAAATAATAATTAAGTGATTTTGCATTCTCCAGTTTTTTATTTTCCCAATGCAATGCATTTTTTCATTGGTCATTGCCAAATACTTATAAGAACAATGTTAAATTTTAACTGATTTTAGCTTTCTTAAAGTAACCTTTTTCATAAATTTTAATACACTCTTGCGAAATTAAAAAGCTTCAGAATTAATTGGTAATCCTAATCTCAGACAGTTGTTATATTTCAGCTTGTTAATCACTGCCCTGGGCCACATCAAACTCACTGATTTTGGACTAAGCAAGATGGGTCTTATGTCATGTAAGTAGTTTTTCTACTTTTAAAATAATTATTGGAAACAGCATTATTGTTCTTGTTGCATATGATATTTTGTATGAACTGATGTCAGAACTTCTTGTAGTTGCTGTATTGTGAGGACTGTGTTATGTCTTCTGAAAATTTTTTGGAATGTTGCATGATGTATACAGGGTGTATCAAAACTCAATGGCAAAACTTCAGGATCAGTTTCCTCATATAGAGAGAAAAAAAAAAGTGTATAACAACATGGTTCCGGAAATGCATAATTACTGAGTTATCCGACCTTTTAGTAACGTTCGTACTCTGAACACTGTTGCACTGTTACACTGAATACGTCTGTAATGCCAGCTGGAACACTCTGGTCACGTATCAGAGGAAATGTTCAAAGTGACGTCCTCCTGCCTGAATACAGGCCTCCACTCGTCACATTGAGTGCTGCCCATGATCAAAAATGCCCAGTGTAGTGCATACTGTCTGACAGGCTGCCACAATTCGTGCATGGAGAGTTGGTACATCAGCAACAGCAGTCATATACACAATAGACTTTAACTGTCCCCACAGGTAATAGTGTAGGGGGTTTAAGTCAGAGTGTGGTGGCCAAGCAATTGGTCCACCTCTTCCTATCCAGCACCCAGGATAATGTGCATCAAGGTGCCTGTGGGCAGACAGACTGAAATGTGTGGGAGCACCATCATGCATGAAGTAGAGCTGTCGATGGGATGCTAGTGGCATGTCTTCAAAGTAATCAGGCAATGTAGTACACAAGAAATCTGTATATTTCTGTCCATTAAGCTTGTCCGGAAGAACGTAAGGTCCCAACAAACAGTCACCAACAATGCCTGTCCAGATGTTAATGGCGAACCTTTGTTGATGAGATGATCGGATAGTTACATGGGGATTTGTGTCTGCCCGCACGTGCTGATCTTGAAAATTTTCGATTCTGTCCCTTGTGAATGTTGCCTCATCCGTGAACAACCCAACAGCTGTGAAGTTAGGAGTCGCACCGCATTGTTGGAGGAACCACCAGCAGAACATTACTCTTCAAGGATAATCTGCAGGAGACAAGGCTTGTACACGCTGAAGATGATGGATACAGGAGCTGTTCTCGTAGCAGTCTCCAGATTGTCATGTGTGAGATATTCTTCTGCAGGCCTAACTGCCTTGTGCTGACTCCAGGACTTTGATCCACAGCATTGAGTACATCTTCCTCAGCCTCAGGGGTTGTACTTTTTGGCCGTCCCTATGTGCCTGGTGGACGTGTGAAACTCCCATGTTCGCATAGGCAGCGATGGATTCCTTCAAATGTCTTTCGGTCTGGCAATCTGCACATTGGGTAGTGTTCCTGATACAAGTGACACGCCTCTGAAGCCTTACTATCCGCCAAACCATACGTGTAATGAATGCTCACAAGTTCTTCATTTGTGTACATTACGTATCACTTCACAGCAGACTGCAAACAACACTTAATAATCACAGATAACAGACGTCATGCACACCTTTTGGATATGGCTATAGCTACTTAACTGGAGATGACAGGATATCATCTGCGTGTCCTAAAGTTATTCAGGCCCACATCAGATTGATTCACAACATGATTACTTGTGTAACAATTGTAACCGGTGTCTCGCATTTTTATTCTGGCAAACAGGACGTGTCAGAATGCACTCCATAAATTGCACACTCTGATAACTTGTGATTATGCATTTCTGGACCCATGTTGTCATACACTTTTTTCCTTGCTTCTATGTGAGGAGTCCATTCCTGAAGTTTTGCTGTTGAGTTTTGATACATGCTGTAGAGTGGAAGTAAAATTGTTGAGATAAGGTAACTCTTATCAGAGCAAGCCAGAATTCCAGAAATTGTTAAAGTGAATAGATACATAAAGACCGAGAGTCATGTGAGAGAAGAAATGGGCATTTGCTAAATATGAGCAGTGCAGGAGGCATCTGCAGTTCGTTTTTGTGGCCAATATATGTGTATGTGTGTAGGGGTGTACATGCATGCATGCGAGCATACAGTAAAGGTTAAATGGCGTCATCTTTTCCATGGGTAATAACTTTACCTTGCTGTAAGAGTGTCGGAGGCATACTCCGCAGAAGAAGCAGACTGGGGTTGCAGCGAGGTACCATTAGCTGAGGTTTTGCAGAAGAGAGAAGTTCTTATTTGGGAGTGGGTTGCATTGATCCTAGACAAAATTGGTGGGACCTAACTAGGAGTCTTTATTTGCTGTAAAACATGAAATTACATCAGTGTATTTAGATTCAATATTTTTAGTGTTGTGTGATACTGTAGATGGAAAATAACCACCTACTGATTTATTTATAGCTTATGTAACAATCCTTTGATAGCTCTCAATACGTAGTGTCAAATGATGAGATGGTTCAGTGAATAATATTTTGGAAATGGTTGTGGCCTAATTTGAAGTACTGTCCAGCATTTGTGTGGAGGAATTGAGGAAGGACAGGAAAGCCACAAGAAACCTCATTCAGCCAGTCCCTAGGCTGGGAATTGAATTTGGAACCACCAAAACAAAGCAGGAGGTCTAAGCACTTGACCAAAATGTCTGTTCACAGGTACTGAAGAAGAGTGTATTTAGGGAAAAGTGCTGGAAGGGGGGGGGATAAAAACGATGTTTAACCGGGGGGAACTCTTTGAGATGTTGGGTGTGGTGTGTATGATATGGACTTTCTGTTATTTATAAAATGGTGTTTGACCATACATATTGTGTAAAGTGAATGTTAAAAAGTGTTGTGAAGTGACAAGATATTAATAATTTGGTTACAAGTTTTTTTTTGTTTTTCACACTATAGAAAGTTGTTACACTGGGTGCTCTGTACTCCAGAGAGCACATTTTTAGTTGTGTATGGGTGTGGTAAGAGAGATGCTGATTGGTGTTTTCTGTGACCATTATTTGTAAGTGAATTATATACATAATTTTTGTTTCTTGATTTCAGTGGCTACCAATTTGTACGAAGGTTACATAGACAGGGAAACAAAACAGTTCTCTGACAAACAAGTGTTTGGAACACCAGAGTATATTGCACCAGAAGTAATATTGAGGTAGGTTGTCACTTATAGCAGATTATTTCTTTTCAACACGATATACCATTTGTCTTAGAAAGTGAGTCTTTTTCTGAAACCATAGATTAACATTTAATGTTATGAATTTATCATAGTAATATATATTAATATTACTCTTTAAATATTATTATGAATATATAAATTTTCAGTTTCATATGCTTGATACTGTCACATGTACACACGACTGTAGGCAGGGTTTGGATTGGTGAATAGATTTATTGGCAACGTACAAGTTGTAGCTACAAGTAACTATAACACTACTGCTATTTCCACACTTTACAGTTCACTAGGGCACACAGTCTGTTATTAGATGTTTCCTGGTAGTGGCTCCAACAGTGGCTATTCCTCTCCCTCTGGCTCGAGTCCTTTTTTCACAGACTACCGCACAGAACTATAAACTTGCCTTGTCCCTTGCTTAGAACATCTTTGCACTGACCACACAGGAAACACAGCTCTTCCATTGTAGTAATCCAACTGATGCATTATTATGAATCTGGTGCTTATCAACAGCCCTGGTATATCTGTCATCTCATGGTTGTTGCATAGCATCAGCTCTATGTACTACATTGCTCCTTCTTTAAGGCTCTTTGTCCCAAATGGCCTTCAGGTGTACCGCCGTTTCTTTTTTTCCAAGGTCTATACTTGTGACACCTGTGCTTGGTTTCACCTTCTTCCTCATGGGTCAGTTTTCACAGTGATTACTCTCCAACCGCTCTTGTGCTCCCTTCTTAAGGCCACTTATCCTGAGTGGCTCCCTGACCAGGTGCGAGCTGGTCCAGATGTACGACCATCAACCTGGATCTAGGGTTCTGCTGGATCTTGTGTGCCACATCATGACACATAACAGGATGCAAACAATAAAGATCCTTCTTTTGGTCAGTCCAGATAAACTACCTAGAGTGGCCGGTGCTCTATGTATCTGGCTTTTAATCTGTGTGCAGTCTCTTTTTCCATTTAAAAGGAGGCGGACGAAGAAGTTCTGATTACTTTTTTAAGTTTGGTTCTCACTGTAATGCATTGCAGTTGATCTTTCATACTTACTCTGCTTGCTGCCTGCTTCATTCTGATTCCTTACTTGGATTCTTCAACCTGAAAATAGAGACCACATGTTCTTTATGCTGGTTGACTATCGGTGGACTACACAGTGTTACATTCCATTGTGACTACCATTGTGAGAACCTCAGATCCTTACTTTAATTTACTTTAATTCTGATGTGATGACATAAAAAACTTATGCATGACAAGTACTACTTCCAAATTTTCCAGAACTCTGTGGTCCATTTAATTTAATATCCATTATAGTAGTAGATAATAAGAATGAATAAAAAAACACAGGTTTTATGACTTCAGTGCAAATTGAAATGCCAGTACTGATTTGCATTTCAGAATTTACACCAGCTTGTACATAATATAAAATTTGATTGATTTGAATGTTTAAGAGTATAAACATATTTAAAGAGAAAATGTTTTATACTATCATAAAATGATATGGAACATATGGAAGTACAAGTTTGGTTGATAAAATGAAAGCTTACTCCACTAATTTGGGAATTTCAATATGTAATTTCTGGCTGCTAACCTTAAATGGGTCCAAGCAATTCTAAGGCTGGAGCGATATCTTGACCAGATGATAATCATCACTGAGAAGGCAGATTCACATAAGTAGGTAGAACTAAGAAAGATATTACAGAGAAGGCCATTTTTCTTAAATTTGGATACTTTGTGTCACTCATCAGATTCCAGATAATTTTCAGCTATGCTTGAATCTGATGTAACTCTTAATCCTTTCTACCACATCTTCCACTTCAGCTGAACCAGATGGGTGACATAGTATGAATGTAATAATTGGTTCCAGTCTTGTAAATTCTTGGAAATACCTTTCAAATTAAGAATGAAATTATAAATAACAGAACTATTACTGCTCTGCCATGCATTGGCAGTCCATCCAAAATTGTCTGCAGTTCAGAGGGAGACCTTAATTGGCGTTTTTTACTGCCATAATGTAGTGCCCATATAAAAAGAAGTGCATGGTAAGAGACCGCCTTTAAATTTAAAAATATGGGATACAAATATTTGACATTATTGCACACAATCTAGATAGTTGTAACTGGCTTCCTGAATCATCACCACCTTAAGAGAAGCCTACCTTTGAATTGTTCTAAACTCACTCAGCCCAATCCAACTCATTACATTTGGAAGAAACAACAGTAATGTTTCTGTCATATATTTTGCTCCTGTCTATTTGAAAGAACAATTGTTTGTCTTCTAGTGGTGTTTTATATGTTGTTTCTGCTTAACTTTAGACCGTAGGCACATAATTGACATTCCAAATTAGTATTCACATTCATTTATTATGTGTGTTTGTGTCTTTATAGGCAAGGGTATGGCAAACCAGTGGATTGGTGGTCGCTGGGTATAATACTGTATGAATTTTTAATTGGATGTGTGCCATTCTTTGGAGAAACACCAGAAGAGTTATTTGCTCACACAGTAAATGGTAAGGAGTCCATCCTCCATTGTTTACAATGTTTATAAATCTGTGCTGTATTTGATCAGTAGTCATTGAGTAATATCTTATTTCCAGATGATATTGAATGGCCTGATGAAGATGACTGGCCTGTTCAGCCTGAAGCAAAGGACATAATTACAGCATTATTACAACAAAATGCTAGAGAACGTTTGGGAACTGGTGGTCCTCAAGAAGTTAAAGAACATCCTTATTTTTTTGGTGTTGACTGGAATTCACTTTTAAGGCAAAAGGCAGAATTTGTTCCACAGATTGACCATGAAGAGGACACAAGTTATTTTGATAGTAATACTTTCTTCACAAAAAATAATATACTCTTCTTAAAATTCAAGTTTATTTGAAAGAATCTCTTACTATAAATGGGAACATTTTAAATATTTTTATTACACAGACAGTCTACATCTGCTGGGTCTGTCTTTCATACAAGGGTCATCCAGAAAGTGAAGATTGTTTGCACATAGCACATGCACAGGTCACCAGATTACACCATTTCAAGGTTAATGGACATCAGTAGTCTTTTTAGTAACCGTCCAGGTGAATGACATGCTGATTCAATCGTTTTGCAATTTTTTGTAGTATTTAAAAGTGAGCAAGAAAATCGAGAACTTCTCTGTAGTGAAATGCAAGTTCTGATTCGGTTTTTAAATGCAAAAAATGTCTGTTCAATTGAAATTTACTGTCAACTTATTGCATTGTATGAGGAAGATGGAATGAATGAGCGAAATATGAGAAAATGGTGTAAAATATTTAATGAGAGCAGGACAAACATTCACAATGAGAAGCGGTCTGGGTGCCTGTCCCTGATCACTGAGGACTTGAAGAACAGGATTGATAAAACATCAGGACAAACGGGCAGTTCACCCTTTATTAAAGTCATGAGAAATTATCGCCCTCTTAGCGATAATGTTCCAAAAACATCGAAGCAAGATGCACACTCTTGCTCTTGTGCTCTTCAAAGAGCATCTGTAGTACCCATCTTGCACAATTTTTTGAAGTGGAGATGCTCCATAACAATTTCACAAATCTGTGAATGAGAAATTTGAGGAAATTTCTCATGAATTTCATCAAGAGTGATATGCCTGCTTGTCCTGAGGTGTTGATCAATCCTGTTTTTCAAGTCCTCAGCGATGAGGGACGAGCGCCCTAATCGCTCCTCAATGTAAACTTTTGTCCTGCCCACTTTAAACATTTGACACCAGTTTCTCACATTTGACTCATTCATTACACCTTCCCCATACACTGCAATAAGTTGACAGTAAATTTCAATCAAACAGATATTTTGTGCTTTCAAAAACCAAATTATAGCTCACACTTCACAATTGGTGGGATTCTTGATTTTCTACTCACTTTGAAATTTAACAAAAAGTCGCAAAACAATAGAATCAGTGAATCATTCACTTGGCTTGTTACTGAAAGACTTCTGAGGCCAGTTAACCTTGAAATGGTGCATTTCAATGAACTGTGCACCTGCTGTGCCCAAATGGTCTTTGCTTACTGGACAACCCTTGTATTTCCTCATTTGTTCATTTTGAATATACCAATACTTCCTCAGATTTCTGTACACAGGGTATGATAAATATATACTGCTATTATTATTCGGCTACATATAACCAAAAAATAATTTTATGCCAATCTTTTCCAGCTCGAGTGGACAGATATAATCATGATATAGGGGAAGACACAGATGACACAGATGATTCTCCATTGTTTGGCTCTTTCTCTTCGTGCTCTCCACAGTATCGTAAAGTACAGACACGTCTAGGAGTATATGAAGAATTGGAAGATAGCACAGCAAGGAAGTCATTTTCACGTGGTGATTCTGGTCAGTCAGATCATTCTGAATCTTCTCCCTCCAATTTGGGTAGCACTGTGGATACTCCTGAAGCAGATGGTATAAAGGAATTGGTCGAATTTGCAGAACAAAGTCGTCAGAAGAAAATAGCAAATCCAACTACACCAGAATCTTCACAGACAGAAAGTGATGATGTTTCACCTCAAATTCAGAGGAAGCGGCGCCTTCATAGCAAAGATTCTCTACCACGGTTTTCAATTTCCATTGAGGATAATCGTTGCAGGTCTGTAAATTTTTAGATCATATTTTCTTCACTTATGTTTCATCTATGATTCAGCTAATATTTATCGTTGATTGTCTTTTACTTATAAAATGGTAGAGACTGTTGGTGGCTTCTGTTTAAAGTTTTTTTGGGAAGTGGTAGACTTTAACACTAAATTAAAGAAAATCTTAAGTGCATGAAATTTAACAGAGATTATTGACTTGAGATCAGTGAAGTTAGATGAAGTATAACCTGAAAAAGGGGATTATTAGATGGATTCCACTTTATTTGCAACAGTCAGATATTTTCAATTATAGAAAGCAGAAAGTACATGTAAAATGCAAGCCTGAAGTATTACAGATGTTTGGGCTAGACATACATCTGATGAATTATTACTGGATCCTACTTCTTTTATATAACTGAAGTAGCTGTTCAGAAATCAGATTCTGACAGAATTCATCCAAGCAGAAGGAAAAATATAGTATTCCAAGATTCACAGTATCACTCATTCAGTCATGGAACTGAGCCCTTCTTGAGAAGCCACCAATTATGCAGGTACTTAAGAACTTCCCAGTGTTTTATGGAACCAAAAGCTTCATTACCATGTTCAGAAAAGCCCTCCACTGGTCCCTGTCCTGAGCCATATCAGTCCAATCCATACCACCCCATCCTATCTCTCTAAGATCCATTTTAATAGTGTCCACCTGCCTATGCCTTGGTCTTGCCAGTGGTCTCTTTCCTTTTGGCTTTCCCACCAATATCCTGTATGCATTCCTCTTCTCCCCATTCGTGCTGCATGCCTAGCTTATCTCATTCTCCTTTATTTGATCATTTTAATTATACCTGGAAAAGCGTACAAGTTATATGAAGCTCCTCATTATGCAGTTTTCTCCAACCTCCTGTCACTTCATCTCTCTTCGATCCAAATATTCTACTCAACACCTTGTTCTCAAACACCCTCAATCTATGTTCCTCCCTTGATGTCATAGACCAAGTTTCACACCCATACAGAACCACAGGCAAAATTATAGTTTTGTATATTCTTATTTTTAAGTTTTTTGGACAGCAGATGAGAAGACAAAAGGTCCTAAACTGAATGGTAGTAACCATTACCCAAGTTCAGTCTCCTCTTAATTTCCTCCTGAATCGGGTTTTGATTTGTTATAGTCATTCCAAAATATCTGAACTGTGCCACATTTTCAAAACATCTGTTTCCTATCTATCTATCCTATGTCATGATTTTGCCCTGAATTTTGGTGACAAGACAGCAAAATATACTTAATTTAGATCCACAGTATGGCATATTATACGTAGGTCGTACCTAAAGTCATGAGCAACTTTTTTTGCATGCAACCTGGGAACAGCTGACGAAAGAGTACGATGGTAGGTGGAACCAGCTGTTGTGCTGGGAGTATGTAGAGCTGATGATCAAGTTGTTACTTTCTGCAAAATCTATTAATTTTATTCCATTATGGTTGGTTGTATCATGTAAACTTTCTGTCCCAATTACTCCTCTGTATTCCTTCTCTTTAGCTATTTTGCCGTTAAGATCCCCTAAAATAACCTTTATACTCGTATCATTACTTCGTGTTGAATCATATGTCTCTTCCATTTGTTGATAGAAATAGTCTGACCTCTTCTTTTTCTTCTGTAAGTGCGTGCACGTTCATCAACATCATATTGGAAAATTTCGTTCTAATTCTCAAAGTGCAAATTCTTTCACTTATTGGTTTAAAGTCTATTATTGAGCTTTTAAATTCTCGTTCTATTACAAAGGCTACACCACGTTCCTTATTGCCTTCTGCTTTACCACTGTAACACAGTATGTTTCTTTATGTCCATGATTCCTTTTCCCAGCCATCTAATTTCCTGTATGGCTGTGATTTTCATATTGTACTTGTCTATCTGTTCTAGTACCGATTTCATGGCACCCGTTTTATTGAGGGTTTTTACATTCCATTTACCTAGAGAGTAGTCCATATTCTTTGCCAGTTGTCATCTTCCATTCTGTTGAGGTTTCCGAGGCTTGATTCCAGGTTTCAAGACATTTATATTTTTTTATGGTGAGAGGTTGTCAGCCTCTTGCCCAATCCCCAACCTGGAGGACCAGGGTATCTCTTTTAGTCTGGGTCATCTCCTTCCACCTGTCCGGCATGGGTGGCCCTACCAGTAGCTATGCTACTGCTGACATAGCTCTCAGGGTCATTTGACCATGCAAGCCCGTCCACTACGTCAAAGTAGAGACACCATCGGGGGAGGGAAGTCTCAGATGGCTTAAATTAAGAGGAGTATTATTATAATGCAGTGTACTGTGGTACATAATGCCTTTGTATTGCCATGGTTATATGGGTGTATATCCTTAATGGATGCATAATATCAAGAAAGAAATTTTAGCAAACTATAATGTTGATCGAAGATAATTGTTATATTTAAATTCATTGTTGTGTCTATGTGTAGCATGGATTTGGAGCACCTTCAGGAAATTGCTGCAGTAGAAGACAGGAATAGTCAAGGTACAGAGGCTGCAAGTACACAGAGGATTTCCTTGCCATGCAAACATCGATCCAGAGCTGTTATCAAAAGTGCATCTGCATCAGGCCTCTCCTTGATGATCCCTTCAGGTGTGACACTATTAAAATCATCCCATAATGCTTCACATGCTGGAAATTAGTGCATAAACTAATTTACACGAGAAATTCTGCTCCTATGTTGAATGTGCATGAAATTTTGACTTCATCCAAGTGTCACCCTATTTTAACCCCTTTTTTATACAGAGACAAGGGGACCTAGTTGATTGAAACCTTGTGATTGAGCTCCAGTTTTGTAATATGGTAGTGGACTGATTTACAGAAATGTGATAAAATAAGCATGATATGCTGCCAGATTAATAACATCACATTAAGTTTTCAGGAATTTAACCAAGTTGCATTCCTAGATGAAGTAAAAGTTGCAAAATTCAAATACAGTATGCCAGTGTTCTTAGTGTCACAAATTTCTGTTTCATTGCATTTATGATGAGTACCATCCTGAGTTCTGCAAGCTGGTCGCACTGTCTAATGTTGTTAGATATTATTTTGACAGTGTGCCAACTGCATTAACCAGCACTGGTGAAGGAATTGTGGAATCTGAAATTATGATTTTACATTTAATGTATATACTGTAGCATAATCAGTATGATCTGCCCTGGAGTATGACAGGGAATGGCATTTCCATAATGATCAGGAACAGTGAAACAAGTAAAGGGACAGTGATGAATTCCCAAGAGACTATGGCAAAATTCCGATCAAGTTAGTATTACATTTTAAAAACAGAAGTCCGAATTTTGCCATGAATGTACCATTCCAGGAAGTAAGTTTATGTCCATAGAAAGCACTTGTACTTTTTATCACAATTTAGCTCTGAAAAGGAAATTGAAGAATTGTATGCACAGTGTTATGTAATTTTAGTACTGACCTGGGAATGCAAGGGAGACCATTCTGCTAGTCATGCAGTGCTTTATCAGCCACTCTTAATTTTCTTTCAGTCCTTTATTTTCATTAACTTGAAGAATGCAAGTTACATTATGCACCAAGTTGGATGAATATTGTTAGATATAAAATAAAGTGTGTATATTTGGAGAAAATGTTGAATGGGAAAATTATATCACAACTGGAAGTCACATATACTCGTTAGTTTTTCCTTTTATTTAACTTTATTGAAATTGCATTAAGGAATAATCACTGTATTGAACTTCATGATAATATAATGCCCACAGTATTAAATTTTTTTCTATAATTTGTATAAGTAAGCTATACAAATGAATAAAATATTGTTCCTGAAACAAAGTCAAGAAGTATTTGTGACCAGAATTTTGCTCAGTAAAGGTTTTGCTGAATTTTACATGATCTCTTTTTCTGTTTGCTTTATACAGCGTGTTAAGCACAGTAGACCACTGTAGGTCGTGGTGCAAGGGCCGAGAAGGCCTACCCCCCATACATTCATTCATTCATTCATTATACAGAGTGTTCCAAATTACTATTTACCATATTGTCATGTATGAGTGAATATAGATGGGGTTTGGATTAATGACTGGATTTATTTGACTCTTTAATACAGTCCGTGACTGCACGTTACAGTTCACTGTTACACACACACACAATAATGTCCACAGTCTGTTATACTCCACTAGTTGTTGCTTGGTAGTGGCTACCAACAGCAGACATTTCCCTCCCTCTGGTTCCTGAACTATCCCTGGCCTCAGCTACCAGCTTCTCATGGCAACAGCTCACAATGAGTGAATCCCAGTGGTCCTCTAACTCACTCACTCACCAACCAGCTCTTAATTAATTCACTGACTCCTCACTTGTCCTATTATAACATCTCAGCACATAATGCTTAGAAAAAACAACTCGTCATGATTGTTGTATCCTCTTGTTGTCATGGAATTGTTGTATTCGTGTCTGTTGGTGGAGCCAGTACCTAGCAACGGCTGTTGTATTGTCACTTATTTCACTGTTATTGCCTAGCAGCAGGTCTGCATGACATATTGTCTTCTGTCAGGTGATTAACAATTTAACTTTTCTCTGTGTATGTTTTAGTAATAGACACAAGATCGTATTTTGTGTAATGAATTGGAATTTTCTACATCTCAAGCATGAATAATGACACAATCTGAAACCCAAATCTGCAACATTACTGAAGATTCAAAGTTGCACATGTCTCACTCACGTGTGTTTAGTGGATGGGAAATTAACATAAACTCTAGGAAGGCGTGCAGAGCATATGTAAATATTAGGCAATAAAAATTTATGGTTGTAACATTTAAAAGCTACTGAATTTTTTAACTTTATTAATCATGTATATTGTGTTGTACTGTAATTTTAGATGACTGTCCCCCCCAGCCAGTTCAGTCACCTGGTGGATCCAGTACTGCGAGTTCCCGGGATACTTCACCCTGTCGGGAGTTGTCTCCTCTTGTCACTAGCCTGAAGCCTCCTATTATCATCCGACGGGGACCACGTGGATTTGGATTTACAGTTCATACTATTCGAGTTTATTATGGGGATACAGACTTCTATACAATGCACCATCTGGTTATGGTGAGTAATTTTCTCTTATGTGGTGGATATAATTACTGAACATATGCATACATTAAATTAACTACAAGGTGAGAGAAATATCAGAATTCATACAGTACTGCATGAGCAAATAAAAGATATAACCATTAAAAATATTCGTAGGATCATTAAATTTTCGCTTTTGTCTTTTATCTTAAGTAATTACTGTCCATGTTTTTAAACTTGGCTCTTCTCAACAAAAGGCCGGAGTCCACTAACTGAGATAAGGGTTGTTGACAGTGAACAAGGCCTTCATCGAGTCCTTGCCACTGGAGGCTGTTAAGATAGCAGCTGGAACATTCATCAGGCTCCAGCAAACAAGCACCAGGACAGTTCTGGAGGAGCTGACCCATCCCAACCAAATAGATGGGACTGAAGGCTTCTATGCTGGGAGAGCTTGCCACTTTTGTAAGGACTGCCCCCAGGAATCCAGTGAAGAAGGTGACTTATGTAGGAGAAACAAATGGGAACTGGCAAGAAAGAACAACCAGTGCCTGGAAATACATAGGAGCTGGCAAGAAGAAGACCAGTGCTCATGAAACATTGAGGAGCCAGTGGGAAGAGGAGACCACCATCCTTGCCTGCTCACTTTATGCTTGAACTTGTAGAGTGGCAAAAACAGCCTGAAGGATGAGAGGGTCTCTGACTATAGACATGACTGCACAGAATAATACATGAATGGTGCTGGAAACAAGAAATAGCCGCTGCAGCACATGTAGACACAGAGCAGGTATCCCTGTGATTTAAAACTTTAAATTTTAAACTGGAATTCTAAATCAAATTGACAAGCCTCTGTTGGCAAGAATTTAAACAAAACTGAGAGGCTGGTGTTTTAGATTTTGGATTGTGTGCAGTGTGACAGCTATGTAGTGAAAAATACACCTGATGATGGCCAGTTACAGCCGAAACATGTAGTGTAGAGGAAGAAAAGACAAAGAACTACAACCAAAATAGATTGTTGCATTCACGATGGCATTTGTATTATTACATATAGAAGTGTCTATGACTACTGCCAGGCCTGACATTACAGCAGGATTTTCCAAAAAGAAGCAAGATCCATGTTATATTCTACAGATGTCCTCAATGGAGACTCCCAATTATCTAGAAATAGAAAATTCACATTTCAGAACCAACTGATGTCTGGGTAGAAAATTTATGTAACCTTGAGGTGAAATATTTAGTGTGTGAGTGCTGTACAGGTACCCAGTCAAAAAACATTTGCAGACTCCTAAAACTGTTACATTTTCAATGTAGGGGGTGTTTTATGATCACATTTAGTATGGCTTGACTCCTTCAGATTTCATCTGATGAGAAATTTTAGAAAGTGTTCAACACTAATTATGACACTGAAGTGGAATGCTTATACATGAATACAAAGCTTCAACTAATGCATCTATGTGAAGTTGTCAGTATGTCAAAGAATAAAGTAATAAGACTGTATGGATTGACTTCTTCAATATTATTCAGTATTTTGAAGAACAGAGATGATCAGTTATGTGATGGAAGACCAGTGACACAGAAACAAGTGCACAATGCAGAGAATGAAGATTTTGAATCTGTGGTCTTCCAGTTATTTCGCAAGGAAAGATCATCTGCCTTACCAATTGATGGACTGATGCACCAGGCAAGTGCCACCCATTTCGCAGCATTCTTAAAGATCAAGAACTTCCAGTGTTCTGAAGGGAGGCTTTTAGGTAACTATTGAAACTAAATAGAAACCACTTCCAGTGGGTGACAGGACTGCTTACAAGACACTGTCACCTGAAAGAACACCTTTTTACATTGGTGTTGACCAACAATCCCATTGTGGAAGGTGCCTGAGAAAGGATGAATCAGCCTTATGTAGCCTATGTAATTATGAGGCTGTAGCTTACTGAAGATTTCATCACCTGGAACACTAATTTATAGAACCAAGTGACTACCAAGATGTCCCTTCAAGTAAGATCTTGCACATCCTTTCAAGTGTAGGATTGCTGGGTGCTGAACAGAAGGGGGGGGGACACCCTAGATCATTAATGGCTGTGGTGCAAGGGACCAATTAAGGCCTACCCTATATTCCTTCATTTATTCAAGGGACACATTACAATTTCAGAGAAAAGAAGGAAAAGTGCATTAGTTAGCACAAAGCATCAAGCAACTCTGCTGCAGTTAAAATACAATGTACACATATGTAAGTCAGGTTGTCTATGTTCTTGTGTTTCAAATGCACAGCAAATAAAGAATAGGATTTTTGTATATGAAGGTTGCAAATACAAGAGGTTTTGTAAGTATGAAAAAATGTTAACTTCTCAGCTAAATGTGTCAGAAATGTTGAATTACTTATGATTGCTTTTTATCTCCATTATAATTACATCAGAAGAGCATAGAAGTTGCCATACACACATTAATATTTGTAAACCTTAGTGCCATACTGTGATATTTGTAACTAGAAGTTAGGAGACAAGATTCAGTCATTTTGGGATATTATGAATACCCATTACAATGAGCATTTTTACAAATTTTGTAAGACCTTTTCATGTTGAGATTGCACTGTATTTTCTAATTCATATCAGACCAAACATCGAAAATGTTCTTCTCGCTTGTTTTCTGAAATACTAGTCATAGTAATTGGTTGAATTGGCCTGTTAGTCATAGAAGTTTGTAGCTGGTTACTTATGCAGGAGAAAATTTCCTAGGTTTCCTCAGTTTCATCCCACCAGTCTTAATCAAATCATAAATGTACATAAAATTGTTTATACAAATTTTTGGATTACTGTATATTGCAGGCAGTGGATGATGGGAGTCCAGCATTTGAGTCAGGTGTACGACCAGGGGACCTGATCACACACATCAATGGAGAAGCTGTACAGGGCCTATACCACACTCAGGTTCTGCAACTATTGTTGTCTGGAGGAGACCATGTAACGCTTCGTTCCACTCCACTAGAAAACACTTCCATCAGGACAGGTGGCCGTAAGCGAGAGCCATGGCAGAGCAAATTGGCAAAACGGAGCATGCATAGGCAGCGGCGACAGAAGCGGGAACATAATGATAAGAGACGCAAATCTTCACTATTCCGTCGGATCAGCAGCAAACGGGCCAGTGTGGAGATGCAACAAGTAAGTACATCGCCAGAATTTTGGTGATGTGTTGTAGTAGTGTGGCTGCCATCTGGCATCCAGACAAGATTGTGGTTGTACTGTAATATAAGATTATTCTTTTTCAGTCACATCTGGCTAATGTATTGCAATAAAATATTAGGGGTGATATATGTTAATGAACTGCAATGAAGTTGACATGTTTGTACCCATTCAGTGATCATTTTCAGGTTTCTTACCATGTTTCATTTTATTTATTACAAAGTAGGAAAACATCTGATGTGGTATTAAATACCATAGTTTACTAAAAATGAAATTGGGTTGTTATTTAGTTATCTCACATTTTCATGTAATCCAGAAGAGATGGATTACAAAAATGTCAAGTGAGAAATAATGAAAATATGCTTTAGGGTAGAACTGTTACAAAATCCAGGCATAAAGTAGTTGTTTGAGAACAGGGTTAATAAATTGACTCAAGAAATGGAGGAAAATATCACATAGAGGGAGAATGGAAACCTAAAGATACTTCACACCAAGCAACAAAAGAAAAATTTAGAGATGAAAAAGAAACAGTGTTAAAAAAGATAAGGAAATTGGAATCATAATATAAATGATAAAAGGGGAGGCATATAAGAAATGTTTATCAACAAGTGATTTAGCAGCTGAAATTTAATGAAAAAATTCAAAACCATAGGAAAGAGAGGGCTGCATAAAAACAGACAAAAGATGTTGACTAATTTTGCATTAAAACTAAAAAAAAAAAAAGTGCAATAAAATAAAAATACACAAATATATTAGAATATTGAATAATTAGATAGCAGAACATGCTAAAAGAAATCCCATAGCAAAGGACTCATGAGTGTATTACTTCAAGATTTATGGTATAAACAATCATAAATGTTAATTCAGCAGAATCTACCAGTGAAGAAGAATTATATATTGTTTTGAAGAAATTAAAAAATAATAAAAACTATAGGAGAAGATGAACTAATTTCAGATGTATTTAAATATGCTGGTAAATTATTTTACAGAAGGTTCCTGCAGTTGCTGAATATTATCTGGTATGGTTACAGACTTGCAGAAAGTTGGCAGGAAGCTAATATGATAAAAGTACATAAAGAAGGGAATTTAAAAACAAAGCAGGAAAATGACGGGGATATTAATTTTTTTAAGTACTGACTGTGCTAGTGTTATTAAAATAGGGTTACAGGATATGATGATGGGAAACTTGGAGAATAACAAAACACATTCCATGAAGAAATATCCTGTTCTGATGTGTATTTCTCAATATTGTTGCATGTATTAGTGACTAAAGATGTGGATTTGGATCGGCAAATCAATTTATTGGATAGTTACTATTTGTAACTACAAATAATTGTAACATTTTCAAAATTACTATAGTTACAACACATAAATAAAATATCCTATGTCAGCTTTACCTAGTCATTTCTAGGTATCAGATCTAATCAATGGCTATTCCTCTGTAAAGGTTTCCCTATCCAGTTCCTGGCAGTGGATTTTAACACGGGAACTATAACTGTCACACTCCAGATATCACTGCACTACAGCACAATAAAGCCTTTAATTCACGCGTTAAGTCTTCGCAGCTCAACTTTTAATTCTTCTTCAACTACAAACTGTCTCCTACCAAGAACTGACTGACTGGTTAGTGCTGATTATCTTCAAGATAACTCCTCTGCACAAACCCCACCTAAAACAGTGTCTTCTTTTGTTAAGGATGTGTGCTTACAGCTTTGTTGCCTGGCAGTAGATGGCCTCTTGTTCCATGCATTTGCTTGACGTGGACCGCATAGAAAACACAGTTTCCCTTATATTGTTGTCGCATTGTTAAGGGGGGTGTTTACTGGCTGTCACATAGAAACTGCAGTTCTTTTATTGTTGCCTGTATTTGTTGCCAGGAGAATGTTTACAGACATTCCACTGTTGTTGTGTAGCACAGCAGGGGACTGTTTACCAAGAATCTGTCTTCATGGGAACTTGTTTGCCAACCTGTTGCTTGGCAGTTAGTTGACACATTATCAAAGAGCATGGATAAGGCAACATCGAAACCCAGCAGGCCATCATAGGGTAAAAGAAAAGGCATTTGGTAAAGTTAGTAAAATCAAATATTATGAAATTCTCATACAGAATAATATAACCAATCAGCTGATTATGACAATATATAGAACTTGCAGTCACAATTTTATAGGCTGCATCCTGTTTGTCAGCCATCACAAGTATACATTAAAAAAGGTCCTCTGTTTTATTTCTAAATATACACTACATGGTTTGATTATAAATGCTCATCCTACATTAGTTGCCTAAAATAAACAGAGGTTACTTTCCAAGCAGCCTTTGTGTGTATGTGTGCGTGTGTGCGCGTGTGCGCGTGTGTGACTATACACGTTCAGGATCATTTCTAGTTCATTGGACACACATAAAATTATGTAGTTCACTTCTTGTTTTATAGTGTCATATGTATGAGTGACTATAGATGGGGTTTGGATTGGTAATTGGATTTATTGAACACTTACAGGTCATAACTACAGGTAACTACAGCACTATCGCTAATTCACACACTCTACAATTCACTACAGCACCTACTAAGTCTTCTCAAAATGTTATATCTTCACTGCTTGTCACCTGGTAACAGTTTAGAACGCCATAGCTTCCTCGGCTTTTATGTTCACGTTTTTGCTGGTTGGTGACTACCTCACAACTAATTTCTACTGGTGGCCATCTCACGCCAACCTCCCACTATTTTCACTGCTGGGTTAAGTCTCCCTCTCATGGCAGCTGGCCCTCGTTGTATATACTCAGCACGGACTGCACAGAAAATACCACTTCCAACAGTTCTTCTGTTGTTGCGTGCATCTGTTGCAGCCATTACCTAGCAATGGCTGTTGTATAACTGCTTATTTCATGGTCATTGCCTAGCAGCGGGTCTACATGCCACAATAATTTTAGCACTTTGGACTGCTACTTTTGGTGTGCACAGTCTTCCAGTCAGTCAAAGTCAGATTATAATACAGCAGTCTTTCTTCAAGTGCCAAATCACCTGACTTACCATCATCCTGTTAACTGAGCCAGTCTGGTCACATCATCACATAAAACATGAATAAAGAAAACATCACATAACATGTAATTAAATATGCAATATATAACATCATATAGAAAACCAAGGCATGCCTCACATAAATGCTACATTAATCATACAGTGTCAACATAAGAATACAGGTATATACATTAATACCCATCAAACCCTGTTATTTACCAAGATAATGACTGCAAGTTCCAGCCTTCAGGCACCATTGTGTTTACCACATATACTCCTATAACAACATAATTTTTAATTCTCATTTTATCATCTCATTTATGTATCCTGTACAGTTACCTTGTAGTGTATTTAGAGACTTCATTTCCTGAGGGAGTATCAATGTAACTTATAGAAAACTGGTTCCAGGTTTTTCAGCAAGACAGTAAAATGCAGTACAATTCATTAGTTTGTTTCTGATGTAGTAACCACCAGAAAATGATCATTGGTAGAAACACGTAATAGTATTAATTCTAATAATAAAAATACTTGACACCAAGATAGTGTGTTGATGGTCACAAAGAAAGTTAAAGATAAGTTTTGATGATAACCCTATATCTATATATAAAACACAGCAGGATGCAAAAACAAAGAGGAGAGAAATTTTCTAATTGATTCCGTAATATTAACTCATGTTCTCTTTTTTGTTTCTCTACAGTTGTTGAACAATAAATCTGAATATTAAATGATATCTTGTTACATTATATAATATAAGGGAGAACACACATTTTATGTGTCATGTATTCTATGTGATGGTAAGTAATCTGGTGTGGAACAAGTGATCTGCTGTGGAAAGGAGCAGTTACTCTTGTGGAGATATTTCTATCAAGTATAATTTTTATCTGACTGGTGAACTGAGTCAACATTTGTTAACTCTTCTCAGCGTATATGTTTTCAGACATTACCAATCATTCTGCAGTTACCTATTATAATTTAACTAGAAACATTAATGTTTCACCATCACAAGTTGAATATTTTTTTTCATATGCAGTAAACTCCTCATTATCTGATATCCAAGCATCCAGGATTTTCATCCAACTGGCAGAATTAAAAGAGAATTTTCCTTTTTAGTAATGTCATTTAAAAACAAATTTGAAATGTGTGTATGTTCACCCAACTGTCACTAGTGCACTGCCAATCATCCTCCCCTGCACAAACGCCATTATGGTAGAGGCTAGTTGAATCTGTGATTGTATCACAGTATATAATCTGAACTCTTACAGCCATTAGTCCACTGTTTTGTTTTTGTATTGGGTTTCTGTATGATCTTTTCTCGTGCAGCTGGCAGATTCATGTAACCAGCACACCCCTTTCCCCTTGCATGCTGGATAATGAGTTTATTATATCATATTTAGATTTGCTACTGATTGATACAGGCTGCATAAAATTCAACATCAGCTGCAGAGAACATGAAATGAAAGCTGATAAAGTACCCGTTATCAGTAAAGAGAACTTTTTCTTATCATAGGTATTAGATAATTATAGTGTTTCACAATCATAGCCTTTTGTGCTTTTGCTGTCCACAATTGAACCAAACTGAAAACTGAATATCATGATTTGTATGACATTCACTTATGTTCAAGAATGTCCATATTCATTGGGGAAAGAAAATAATCTTGAAACTTTGTGTCACTAGTGAAAAAAAAAAGACAGTTACCTAACAGGTAATCATTTATTGCTTATAGTTACGTGTAAGGTTTATTTTGCAGTTTCTCTTGATTTTTGTTTAAGTGAATTTGATTACATATTTATTTTTATGTAATTTTCCTTTGCAGCCTATGAAAATTACATGCCCACTTTCTGCTCCTGTTGTTCCAGCTGACTTAATGCCTCAGTTCATGGTATGCATGCATTTTTATATCCTTGTATCTATAACTATGTTTTGTAAATGTGAGATTTATCATTGTCATTATGCAATTTCAGGCTACCATAGCAATGAATTGTCAAGTGTTGACACATTGCATTGTGTAGGTCACAAACAAGCAAGCAGTTTTTTATTTCAATATGTCATGTCTAGTCTGTATGTATTCATAATATTTTAATATGTACATGTGAATTGTAGTATGCGATGCAAAGAGATGGTTTAAGATTGATTATTTGTGTATGTTATTCGTGGGAGATGGCATTAAACGTAGGCCTTGGTGAATCACTCAATAACATAAAGGCTGGGAAAATAATACAGTAGAAATGGAGGAAAGGTAATAGTATGAAAGCTTGTATAACATATTATAAGACTTCCTATTGTTTCAACAGGTGTTAAACTTGTGCATGCATGTGAGTGTGTGTCTGTTGTTTGGGTATAGGTGTGTCTATATTCTGTTTATTAATGCATACTACCAATTTTTAGATCTCGAATAGCATTTTTAACAAATTATGCATTATAATTGTTTAGAGAGCCCTTTCTTTTTTACTTTATTTTCCTCTCAAGGAAAAGTAGACTTGCGTTATCATTATGCTGTGTGTATGTGTGTGTGTATATCTGTCTGTCTGTGCATCCTTGTGTGCCTGTTTCATCTTTTGAACCAGTTGATCACATTGCATGAATCTTCATATGCCCAGCATTCATTGGCTCCCATTTAGACATCATGGGGGCAGTAATAATAATGTGGCAGAAGAGTGAACTTGTAAGATGGGAGTGGCACTAGCCCAGGGTGATTGCGAGTTAGCAAATATTCTGCTGTTGAAGTCTGGACCAAGCACAGGTCTTACCACAGAATGGGACCAGTGTAAGCATGGCACCGACCTCCAAATTTGATGGACCGACTTCATGGGCCGTGTTTCAACGCCAGTTCAAGACCATGGTGGAACATAAAGGCTGGACACCTAGCAACAAAGCCACATATTTGATAGCTGCCTTGAATGAACCCTACTGCACACAATCTGTGTGGCATCCCCACTGGGGTGACTTATGAACAGATAACTGCAATGCTTGAGAATCACTATGGTGACCACCACCTTGCAGAAGCATTCCAGCCTCAGCTGAAGAGGAGGGTCCAGCATTCCAGGGAATCTCAGCACGAATTTTGCTGCCACCATATACCACTTGTCCAACCGTGCCTATGTCATTTTAACTGAACAACACATCAGTAGAGAAGTGGACCATGCATTCACCGATGGGGTACAAGAAAGAGACCTAATGCGACAGCTGTGGTCAAGGGGCAAGAGGACACTAAGCAAGTTGAAAATATTAATGCATTACATTGTTAACTGATTGTCATCTTTGTAGCTGTACCTGACTGCCCAAGAGAATGCTTTCTTAAGGCAGTGAAGTTCCTAACAACTACAGTGGAGATGTATGTAACAGTTATTATATGATTAACTATTTCGTTTATACACCATCAACAAGTATTGAGAGCTGATGTACTGTTTTATCTAACACTGCTCTCATGTGGTAACATTCGTATATTTGTCATTAGTTTCATTCTGTCTGTACCTATATTATTTTTTAGTTTCTGGACTTTATTTTAAATAATATTATCATCTTCAAGCTTCTTAAATGTCAGTATTGTTTTCCTTTTATTGGGAAACCTTATGAAACATTAAGTAAACTGTGTGCTCCTAACTAATGAAGTGTATTTTGTGAATGGAAGTTTGTGCTTTTCCATATTTTCTGTTTTACAACTTTTTTACGTGTCTCACTTATTTAGCCCACTCTTACCTGACTTGTCATATATTTTTACCTCACCAGGTCCCAACTTCTCAGTAACAAATAGTAAGTGGATATTATATGATACAGTTATACAAAAGAAGAAAGTCTCCATTCTAATACTGTATATAGTAAAGTTCCTTAGAATGCTGTGTACCAATTGTATGAGAAAAATTAGTGCAGAAACCCAGTAAGGGCCAAAGTTATTCCATTGGAGTGGAAGTATATTTTCAGACATTCTTAACCTTGGCACTGGATTGAGGCGAGTGGTCAGCTTCATGCCTTGGTGCTTTACCTCCTGGGCAAAGAGCTCCTGGTGCCTGTTGTCTAGGAGGCTTGGTGGGGTCCACAACCAGTCTGCCATAAACCCAGTACAAAACCAAACAAATTTTCACTTCAGTTCTTACATAAGAATTGTCCTAGGTGACATAGCAAATTAATGAAGGAAATTTCAGATACCTATACTGTTAGTACACGTATAATGTAATCACACATTCATCTTGCCACAATTGTAATGGCACCTGCATGAGAGATGTTGATAGGTTCTAGTGGCAGCTGGGAGAACTGTGGAACATACAAGCATTGCAAATTTGCTTCTGAGTAACTCTATGAAAATGGTAAATTTTCTTTTACACTATTGCTGTTTGGATGATAATTCAAGGTGCTTTGATGCTGGATAGCCCTGGTTTTACTGGAATTAAGAAATTATATTTAAAGTGCTTGTATGTCAGGATACAGTTATGTGAAATATCTCAAAATTTGAACAGTTGTGGAAGGTATATTAAAAATCTATATTTTGAATGCTAAGATGTACTTCTAGTATATCGGAAAGTTCATACTAACATTTTTCTAAAATTATGGTATATGTATATCAGATATTGTATGTAAATATACTGTGTTTGCATGGGAATAATGTTTTTCTGTACCTGTTGTTTTTTAAGTGGGGAGGCACCTTGTAGTAGAAACCTAACATGTAATCTGAAATTTCAGGGTCAGAATGCCCAATTAACTAATTTATTGTACTTCTCACACATTTATTGTTGCATTGCTCAGTGTTTTTACTCTTAATTGTTTTATATACACATTTTTTCCTCTTCCCTCTGCCTTGATTTGTTATAAGTGTAGGGTGTTTGCATGATACCCTATGTAATGAATTTCACTGCTGCATTTGAATAAATAACAGTTGTATTTGCAGTGGGGATGATACATGATATGTAAGATCTGTAGTGAAATAATGCATTGCATATAAAATTGTAAGATACCCAGCACATGAACCATTATTATGAAATGAACACTGGTGTTACATGATGCAGTATTTCTCCTTAATAGAATATATAGTGTCTGAGTCTCTTGGATTGGATTATGTATATAGCTCTGAGCAGTCTGTATACTATGCCTGGTACTAGGCCGTGCCATAGCTCAAGCGGTTAGTCACTGGCTTCCCACCACGGGAGACCAGGCTCGATCCTGTGTCTGGTTAAGTGAGATTTGTGGTGGACAAAGTGGCGCTGGGGCAGGTTTCCTCCGAGTACTTCGGTTTCCCCTGCCAATCTTCATTCCACCAATTGCTCCACAATCATCCTCACCTATCATCTGGGGCTGGTACAATAGGCCAGAAGTAGCTGCAATACAAGGGACTTAGTCCCACCCCACTAGCAATAAAAAAAAATTAAAAAAATGCCTGGTACTCGAAAAACAATGTCTATTTACATTATTATTAATATCTTACAATATTTACAAGTATGTGTTGAAGTATATTGAACTTGTTAATTCCAGCATATTTGCCCTACAGATCCTAGGTTGGACCCTATTCATACTCTCTGGCTATCTGATTACACAATGTGGATACACTACTCAGTAAGACTACTGAAGCTGCTTTGCCTGTCCCATGGTTTTGCTGTAGTCTTTCTGTGGGGTGCCTTGACTAACCATTAGGATGAGTGCAGCATCTTCCATGTAAACTTTCACCAATAATATCGAGGTGGCCACAGGCATAGTGCCCAATACCACCTCCTAAAATTGTCTATCGAATGGCTCTTGCATATCTCTGATGTAGGGTATTTTATAGTTGACATGACTTCTGCTCGTCAGCTTTTCTTAATACTTTACAATAACAGTAGGATTTTACTATGTTTGTTGCAACTGCTGGTTCAGTGTTTACAAAAGAGTTTTGTGACACACTGGACAAGCTGTGTTTGTTTACCAGCTTTCTTCAGTGCGATTATGCTAGTGGATGCCTTGGAGTTCTGAAGTTTCAAATCTCCCTTCATTATGCCGTAAGGGCATAACAGTGACAAAGAAATGTTGCCATGTGAATGTGAAGGTTAAGGGTCATGGATAATTCATATAAATATCTTTACAGATCATGTTCAACATATATTTTGTTTCCAGTTGTGTATTATTCTAAAGCAAATTCTTTCATCATCACAGTATTTCCACTAAGCTATAGCAACAAACATGTAATCTGTATTATGCTAGAAACTACCCTGTTTTTAAAAAATTAGGAACGTCAACCACACATATCAGTGTTTTCTGATGGGTGTACTTTCAATTGATTTCAGATTGCAGCCAGCACATCTTCACCACCCTTAGTAACTCCCACAAGAAGTTTCCAGCCATTACCACGAACACTGTCCTCTCAGGATCTTCCTGGATCTCCAACACACAGTAAAACCTTGCGATCACCCCCAACAAACCGCATTACCTTTTCCTCTCCAGAATCATCTCACTCTCCGGTCAATTCTTCCCAGTCAAGCTCCCCAAGCTCCTCAGCACCCAACAGTCCAGCAGGAGTTCCATCTGGTGCAACAGTACATTATCAGAGACCTTCAACATTACATGGACTTAAACATAAACTTCACACAGCAGCCAAAAGCATTCATTCTCCAAATCGCCGGAAATCTGTGGGACACATACCGTTGTCACCATTAGCAAGAACTCCTTCTCCATCTCCACTTCCATCATCTCCAACACGTTCCCCTAGTCCACTGGCATTCCCAACAGGTCACCATCCTGGTAGTTCCAATACCACACAATCATATAGCCCAGGAACTTCATTATCAACACCAGGCTCTGGAAACAAAAAAGGATTTGGAAGACCAAAAAGTGCTGAGCCAGGTTCTCCTCTGCTTCGGCGTGCCCTCTCGCCTGACCGTCTCCATCCTCGTAGTGCTGAGAGCAAAAGTAAGCCAGCGCCATCTTCCATTTCACCTTTGTGCAATCCTGCTCTTAAGGTAACCATCTCAAGTGCACCCAGGGTCACTATCACATCCCAGTCCCCACCAGTACCTTCAAGACCTACAGTGACCGAATATGTAAGTTCAAATGCTCAGGTGATTACCTCAAAACCACCTGAACATCCTTTATTGGCTCGGCCTGCCAGGGACATGCCTATGGAAAAGTCCCTCAATTACACAGATCTACATCAGCGTTCAGATCATAAGGATAAGAAAATAACTGCAGAGTCTAATTTTGTAACTATGATTGGAAGTTCATTAGATGAAGACCAGCATATAAGTAACAGTGAATTTATGAAATTGGAACATAGGACCTCCTTACCCACGGGATCTGTGAATGTTGGTGTGATAGTGCCATGTGATAGGACCTCTCAACATCTTCCTCGCATCGCTGAGGAAAAAGACTCACCCACAGGATCAAAGGAGGAAGCCATAGCAATGAACCCTCTTGTTACGGAAGCACCGTCAAGTACTGAGAAATCTGTTGTAAAAGACCAAGAAAGCAACAACATAAACTTTGGTTTAGTTAAAAACATAGAAAGTAGTTTGAGAAAGAGCAGGACTGAGAATAAGTGTGACTTGAATACACAAAAAGGAAAAACCAGTGATTTTAAAGCAATTAAAGTTTCTGAGGAGAAATTCATATCAAGCACCAAGTCTGATACAAGAACACACCGAAAGGACTGTAGTGATTCTTCATGTAATAAAACAGAAGGTAAGAATAGCAAATCAGCTATTCCTGAAAAAGAAGTAAAACCCAAGGTTGTTGATGAGTCAAGCAGCTCTCATTCAGAAACAGGAAAAAGTTCTGCTCAAGAGAAGAGGGAATTATATCGGGTGGGCTCGAGCAAGGAGTAACATGTATTTATAATGTGTATGCCTGTTGTTAACACAATTGTATAAATGTTTATTCAGAAGTTGAGAATTTTAATGTTGATATGCTGCCACAAACAGCATACAAATATTGTAAATAGTGTTTGGATATAAAATTGTCACTCTTTTAATTAGTATTTGGTTATATCAACATTTCATAAAAATAGAGGCACAGCAGAAGTTCCTTTGGCTGTGTATGCATCCCATCCAGCTCGCTAGTGGAGAACAACTTGCTCCTGATTTGCAAGTGCTATGTAAGGACATTTCAGACTGCTTTACAAATTCAGAATATGAATTGTTGTAGTCAAGACCAGACATTTGTCATTGTGGCAGATTGTTTCTCTCCCCAACCAGCTAATTGACAAACAAAAAAATTTGTTTTCTTGCTGATATGCATAGATTGTTTGGGTGTAGTATTATTCCAGTGCATCTACTGTGCCTTGCTCCAGTGAAACCATGTCTTATTATGAAAACAGGGCTCACACTGAGTGGTGTTCCACGAAGATATGTCCAGAGTTGAAAGCATATTTCACTGAGACTTGCTGCATAGGGGGTCTATGTTACCAGTCAATTGAATGAGAGCTGCACACAGTTGAGAAGAATTTCTTATGTCCTTCAATCAGCTTAAATAATTTTAATTGAACATAAATATTCACAGTAAATTGATTTGTTGTAAAATGAGCTCTGTAATACAAGGTATTAAACTGTATATGATGTATCTGAAAATTAATACAGCATTCATTATATTTTTTGGTGATGATAATGATTTAAACAGGTAATTTGTTACATAATGATCATTTTAAATATTTTAAAAATGATTTTTCATGTAGTTACTTTTGTTGGTGTAATATAATTTTTAAGCGCATTTTGTAAAACAGAATTCTCAGCTTTCTCAATATTAAGCACATACTCCATTGGGAGTGGGACAAAGTGATGAATTTGATAATCTCTGTTTATATTTTGTGTATATTTTACTTCATTGTCTGGAAAGGTTTTTTTTATATTAAATATGCCTTTGAAGGATCATCCTGTTTAATCTTGTATTTTGTGGCAAATTGTCTGTTGTCCATGTAAATTATTTAATGATGAAGTTTTAAGGTGAAGATTTTAAACCATTAGCTTTAGAAATGTCTTGCTATTGATGTCTCTCTGTAGAGAGATGAGAATATAGCATCGCATAGCTGACCCGTTGTCATGCCAAGGCTGTGTAAATGAATAGTAAATTATGTATTTGTATACGTGTCCTATACATTGGTGTGAAACAGCAGGCCGCAGAATTTTCAAGAATGTGTAATGGTTAAAAGTTACATATGTTTAATGACTAGAAAACATTTTATGTGTTTCTTTTTTGTATAACATTATTTGTGGGATTCATTTCTGAATTATCAGTACAAAACTGGTATCGATGTAAAATTGGTGACAGGACTCTGCCTGTATGCCCTTTATATGATTTGGTTCTTTTNTAGATGTTCCAGACACCATAGCAGCATAATTCCTTGCCAAGCCCTCTACAGAGTGAAATACCTTCTTTGAAAAGGGCATAATGAACTTTTTAAGTATTCTTAATTATTTATATCACAATTTGCTCATGGTACTATATAAGAAAGAACATTTTTTCCTTGTGTAGCAAACTCAGTTGTGTCATGTTGTGAGTTGTGAATCTTTATCATTTGTTAGAAAGTATAGTTCAATGTTCTTTCACATAATGCAGTTTCTGGCAAAACTAGCCACTATTATGATCTTAGATGTTAAACATAAAAATCTTTGTTGTGTCAGACATGGAATATATGGCTGACTGTGGCTGCTGCTAATGTCGCAAGTGATTTTATTTTTTTAGCAGAGTAAAATTTCTTGATAACATAATGCATCATAACTTCAGGATAATTGAAAGAACTCAAGAGTTGTTGTCAAAATTGGAAACAAATATGAATTAATGGGCAGAAAATGTTCTCCTTTGAACTGAATGTAATACCATATAGTCTGTACTCAATTATAAGACACCCAAGTTTACCTTGGGGTAAAATTAATAGTTGCTTCTTTCTTTCTTTTTATGAGAACTGTTGTTCGCTTAATGGCTTTATTGTAATTCAGAACCAGAGGATATATTTGTAGCAGTTGTATCTAGCATGATATGTCAAAGAACAAATATGATCAGCAAAATGAGTTGTGTCTATAGCACATACTTCTGTTTTAACAATATTGTGACGCGTTACCTTACGTCCATCACTGCGACAACCGCTACAATTGGAACAGACACTTCCACGGCAAAAAATTGGTGGAAACTGTGGAATTCCCACAGCGACAAATCGTAGTCATGAATTGTCACTGAGTAATAACGGGAAATACTGCACTTCCTAAGCAGTGGATTGTTGAACCAGAATAATGCACTTCGGTGGTAAGGAGTCAGTCTTCCTAAAGCAGTCTAGTATTGGCTGAGATACAGCGGAAGCAGTAATTGTGATACTGCAAGTGATAATAATTGTAAAGCGTGTGAGTATCCAATAAAGATTCGCTATATCTGAGACCCATGTAAAGTTATTTGTCGCGTGACATACCCAACACGTGACAATATACTCACTACCAAAAAAACATTTTGTCTCAGCAATATTTGTATTTACCATTAAGAAGAGAAAAACTATACCTTCAAGGCACGTGCGGTAGTAGTTTTATAGATCCACATTTTCTTGACTTCGGCACAAGCTGGAGGTGAGTGGTAAGCTTCACGCCTCTGCCGCTTTACCACCGAGGAAAGAGCCTCCGCTAGCCATTGGATAGGGGGTCGTATGGCCCCAGAGCCGGTCTGGACGATATGGACAAGAGAAAATTCTGACCCTTCGGCCGCCCAGCCCGTAGGCAGTCGACAAACCCACTGAGCTAAACCGGCTCATGAGATAATAAAAGCAACTTACGTAAAATTTTAGCACTACCACAGAGGTAGCAAATCAAGTCAGGCGGCAATGGATAGTAGCCATCCTACATCAGTCATCATCATTCTTAACATCTGCAGGCAGGTTAGCTCGTGATAATCACCGATTTTACAATAACAGAATTTATAGACTATATTCTTTTGGAATGAGAAGTATATTATGTGGTTAAGTGAAGAGAGATTGAACAAAGGCGACAGCGTGCTGCAAGACGTACAGGATGTACAGGATCGCACAGGAGCCAATATGGCGGATGCGGAGGTAGGGGCTGCAGTGCAGGCTCATCCTTTTTTATTAAATACTGACATAAAGAATGATGTGGCGTGTGCTAATTGTGTTCAATTGAAAAGACAATTGGATGATGCTCTTCTACAAATGAAATCATTACAAAAAATAATTGAACTGTTACAAAAGGATAATGAAGAATCGAAAATGGCTAGCCAGGAAGGTAGAGCTATTAAAAGTGTTATCGCGAAGCGTAAGGATGTGAAAAAAGTCTATCCGAGCAGTTCCCTCAGTAATACTTTTAAATTGCTCGAGTTTGAAAGTGAATTAATTAATACGACTAACACCGACGAAGTTTTGAATGTGGTCAGCGGTATAAGATTTCAAGTGAACAGCAGTAGTTCAAGAGCAAATGTGGAATCATCTAAAAAGTCAGTCAATCCTAAAACTACCTCGCTAGTTAATTTCTCAGTTAATCGGTCAGATACAGCTACAGGCAGAGTAAAATGTGATTATCAAACCACAGGTTTACCATTATATAGCATTCCTATAGTCATTAATGGTCAAGTGCTAACGACGAGCAATTCGATACCTAAGGAGGAGAAATTAAGCTAGTTAATTTCTCAATTAATCGGTCAGATACAGCTACAGACAGAGTAAAATGTGATTATCAAATCAGAGGTTTACCATTATATAGCATTCGTATAGTCATTAATGGTCAAGTGCTAACGACGAGCAATTCGATACCTAAGAAGGAGAAATTAATTGTGAGATCTAACGTGCTAAATAATCAGCATAAAGATCACAAAATCATACTGCTGAGTGACAGCCATGGAGGAGGATGTTCAGAAAGGATAAAAAAATCAATTACCTTCAAATTTTGAAGTTAATGGCTTAATGAAATCTGGTGTCTAGTATCCTAAAGAATATGGCAGCAGGAGAGGCTATCAAGTTTACTAGTAAGGTCTTTATTGTGCTATGGTATGGCTCAAATGATGGTAGTAGTAATAAAGCTGCAGCTGGAGTGAAGAATATACTTCAGTTTGTCATGAATAATCTACATACTAACATCATTGTAGTTAATGTGCCCTATGTCTTGCCTAAGTCATCATGCGTAAACAGGGAAGTTTCATTATTCAATAAGAAACTTGAAAAATGCTTAAATCTTTTTAATGTGTGACTTTAATCTCGGCTGATTGGCCCAGGAAATATTTTACTAAGCATGGAATGCATTTAAATGGCGTAGGTAAATCAAATATGACCAAACAAATTGTGAAATGTGTCTGTACATCGATTAATAAGGTAGCAACAGCACCTGTTAAATTAGACTGGAAAGTTGAGCATAACAATGACGTAATGGAAATTGATTCAATTTGTGTATCACTAGTATCAGATGCCAGTACTGTTAATATTGTTGATAAACGTACTAGGAAAAAACAGTAACTAGAACTTCAGATTTTTTATGAGAGGATTGAAACAGGAACTCACTATAAATAGATTTCCAGCCTCTTTGTGTAGACCTTTTAAGAATGTGACTAAAACTTGTAACAAGGTACAAAATGAGATAAGCACTAACCCCAATATTAATATTTCAAAATTTGTAAAAAAAAAAAAAAAGTCAATTTGTGACAGTTAATGCAAGTAATCTCTTAAAGGTTTGCCATCAAAATATAAGAGGACTAGTTGGCAAAACACAAGGGCTATTATGCTCCTTACTATTTGATCCTCCCCATATAATATGTCTGACTGAACACCACCTAAAAGAATATGAATTAAATAATATATTAATAGATAATTATGATTGGGTGCCAGATACTGTAGAACAATCTATAAAAATGGAGGTGTATGCATATTTATTCATAATTTGATTAAATTTAACAATGTATTGATTGAAAAGTATTGTGTAGAGAAGGACATTGAATGAAGAAAGTCGTCTTCTGGGTTTAGGCACTGTGTATTCTTCGTTTCGGCCGACATTTCGGAGGAACGTAGCGCCTCCATCTTCAGAGCAGTTGAATGTCTTGGAATGCGGAGAGCAGTAGCTGTAGTGATAGGATGTGAAAGTCCCTCAGAGAATCCAACTAGCCACACCAGTTCTTCGTCATGTCATTGACGTCAATAGCATGTCCCCAACCTACCGGTTCTTCTTGTCTACCGCACTTCCTGGTGCTATTGACCTCAAGGTTCCTGGATTCACTGGCCGTTCCCCCCACCCTTAGTCAGCACAACACCATATATGGTCTTAATCGCTCCCCACTGCTCCCATTGGTCCGTTCTCCCTAACCAGCCACCCCCCTGCCTACTTCATATATAAGCAGCGACTTTCACATCCTATCACTACAGCTACTGCTCTCCGCATTCCAAGACATTCAACTGCTCTGAAGATGGAGGCGCTACGTTCCTCCGAAACGTTGGCCGAAACGAAGAATACACGGTGCCTAAACCCAGAAGACGACTTTCTTCATTGTCATCGCCGTGAAAACCTCAAAACTTACAAGGACATTGAAGTTTGTGCTTGTGAACTAACTTTAACCAATATCAAGATAATTGTGATAACTGTCTATAGGTCACCCACAGGGAATTTTGACATATTCTTG